GGAATGGGGCGCTACGAGTATATTAACCCGCGTAAAATCCTCCTTTTTAATACTTTTATTTATTGTTTGTTAATATAAAATAAAGAATATTTATATGATACATTGTAAATAGACATTATATATTTGTAGTATTTATTTCATATACTATAGAAAGTAAAGCGAAAAAAGTATACTAAAGTTATTTTAATCCAGTGTTTCTCAACAGCTTCGATTGCTCAGTGAAAAATGAGTACCCGACTGCAAAGCGGAGGGTACCGGGTTCGATTCTTACCATGGGCAATAAAATTTTCATAATGTGAAAATCAACTCTAAAATTTTCTAACACTCTTCTCCAAAATTTTCTAAGTCTTTCCTCGGAAGAGGCATGGGAAGGAGAATAAGAACATAAGAAATTCCGTTTTCAATGAAAATTGAAACTCTCCATTCCTTAAAAGTAATGGAGCGCTCAAACAAAACAAAGACGTCACAGGTGGACTTTACTTATTGAACGCTCCTCGTATCTGACATACACTGTATACGTTTTTCCCAGCAGGCGTACATGCAGATCAAGCGTAGTATCGTATTCCACAGGATATGACAGGAAAGGCCTATCCTCCACGCACTTTCTTCTACCTGCCCATCTTATGACTTTCATTTTCATTAGTATTTATTTCAACTTTCGTTCCTTTCAGAAATTCGAATTTTTAACTGAAGTAGAGAAAGTGAGTGGGAGCTCGGTCAAACTCTAACGTCACTTACTCTTGAATCAAACGATATTTAAAATTTATGCAAAAAGATTGAATATTAAAAACAGTATTTGAAAAAAAAAGTAGATAAGCTTTGTAATATCCGTAGACCCTTTCCTAGGTTTAAGCGATTTTACGAGGGTTGTCCCAGAAAAACGCGAACTTTTTGAACATTTCAAATACTATTCAACCAAAATTAATAATTTTTGCATGCTGTTGGAAAATGATCTTTTTGCTATTTTGACATAATATTATAGGCCTGTGACGTCAAATGCCTATAAAAACAGAATTCAAAGGGTGTTAATATCGAAGTCGGTGCACGGCAATTTTTTTTTTACTTTTACAAATAGCACAGTCAAAGATATTTTCTTTGTTATCAGGCTAAACGGAAATATAATTTCACAAAACTTACCTACATAAATACTTTATACTTTGGTGTACTCGTGTATAAAAATTCATTTATTTAACATCATTAATGACATATATATGACGATATTTACTAAAGCACTTTAAATTAGACATTGTCAAAAATGGTGACGTTGGGCGTTGAGCACCAAATTATAAAGTAACAATAAGTTGAGCGGGATATGACTCCTGTATAATTATACATATCTAAAACAGATGTTGATGATGAAAAAACATAAACGTAAGTATGTGAAACATACCTGGTATTCATCTCTAGTTGAAGAGTTTGAGGTTGACTTGACTAATTATCCGATAGAAGAGAATTAACCACTAAAATGAAGACGAACTGAAAAGACAAGAGCGGGACGTCATAGGTCTACGTGAAGACTTTTTTAACAATTTGATCAGTTATGTTTATAATCGGGATCGTGAAATTGTCTATTAAAAGAATTACCTCCGTAATTTTTTAGTATTTGAAATGCATAACTTGGTAACTAAAAGAAAATTAAACACAGTGCCAAATTTATTCTGAAATGAATTGTATTAGAGACAGTTTCTAGAACAAATTCACCCAAACTACGAGCCATGTTTTGACGTCGTCAGTGGTGATCCAACAGCTGACTTGGTGGATTCGTTTACCTGTGAGGAAAATGTTATTTATAAAGATATTCCATAGACATTTTTAGTGCAGCTTTTTATCTTTATAGTCTTAGTGAAACAACAGATATTGAAAATGACAACCCTCGTATGCTACCTCTCTCAATATTTTTCTAAATATCACAAACAGACAATCTTTGGGTTCGTTTTGCAAAAATTATTTTGCACAGTCGGTGTTCATAATCAACTATGAATATATTTAAAGATTTTATTTTAAATTGAATTAATAATTTTCAAACAGTTGAAAATGTTACGAATATCTTCATGAATGCACTTCTTTATTTGCAGGTTGATCATGCGGATTCTTTTCCATGGAACAGTGTTCATTGCTCTGTCATTATTTAGTTTCATACAGTCGCAGTGTATCCGGCGACATGCCATCTATACAGTACGTTATGGAAGCTGCCACCCAAAGAGGATTCTGGTCAGAGCATGTATGGGCGGCTGCTCCTCCCACGCCAGACCGTCACAAACATCGTCATCAGAGGTCATTCATTTCTGTCAATGCTGTCAGCAGGACGACGTGCAACATCTAAGAACTTTCCTTCGGTGTCCCTCCGGCGGAAGTTCTCGATATTTCCGAACAGTTCCATTCCCAGTGACAATTGCAGCATCGTGTCGTTGTCGGCCTTGCTCAGTTTTGCCGGAAAATATAGTCCCGTCAGAAGGTGAAATATTTCACCGCCCAATCCGAGCATTCAATGAGACCAATATAAAGGACTTATCTCTAAACCTACACTCAAATCACGCTAATAAATAATGAGGGAAGAGTCGACGCAATGTGATTTATCTCCGCCTTACTCGCTCCTCAGCTTTTCAGCAGATTTAATTTTTGTCTTGTTCCTCTTTTCAAAAAAGCTACATAATGTTTAAGTTCTTACAATAAATTTGGATTGTATAATGCTAATAATCAAACTATATTCAATTAAGACCAAATGATTAAATTCCATGCCGAAAACATTTAGTGTGGAACTAAATTTTGTGGAGGAAGGTTTTTTGTAGAAGAAAAAGATCAGCTTATCTCAGCTTATCCTCTTTCGAAGTATTCAATTTTGTTGGGATTGGATTCCTATTTTTACATGCATGCAGCCTGCACACAGAGTATTTTATTGCAGTGAAATTTTCTATGCTGGTCCTAAAGTATATATATTTATAAAATTAGCACTATTTTAGTAATATCTAAGAATTAACATCACGGACCCCCACTTTTTATTTCATTTTCTGAATATATAAGATAATTTTAACCACTCTGCTTAAATTCGGAAAAACGTCATTACTTTCAATTGATTTTATAATTATAGCTTTTAATTTTCAATACCAGAAAAATAGCATTTTTTGAGTAGAGAAAGGTCAAGTAAATTACAATGCGGAATTTGAAACTATTTTTGTTGTCATAATTTTTAATGTGACTATTTAATTTGAAAAAAAAGACTGTTTGATCCAATAAATCATTTGGATAAAAAACTTTGAAATTTGATTCATGTGTAAGACGTAATTATAGTACAAAAAGGACATATTAATTACTCCGTAGTGCTAAGAAGAAGCGCACTGACATCCATGTCTTTTTCTTATTAAGCTATGTGTGTAGATTTTAAAAATATACTTGACAAAAAAATTTCAATACTTTTGATAAGGTAACCAACCTTCAAATATGATGTCCGTCAGTTTTTTGTTGTTGTTGTTTTCGTTTTATATTTGAGAGATGAGGTGAATGATCAGTTAAATATAATTTATTGCTAAGGGGTCAGAAAAGCTTAGGAATTTGATATGATGTATGTCTTTCTGTAAACTGTTTTTCAAAATGAAATTTGTTCTACGGTTTTGGTCTTATTTGAATAAAACTATTTCCCCAAATTAATTGATTACTCCATGATTTCGATGAGCAGTAGTTGGTAAAATAAAACAAGAGGTACTGTGAACACTGAGCTCATTAAGTGATACCCCCACATACCCACCCCCCGCCATGTTTTGCGTTAGGAGACCCGAAATGTGTCAAAAAAATAAAAAAGGGGGTGTACTATGGCATTATGTAATGAAGAATCTGTGAAAGTATTATCAATATAGGAGGAGTTGCGGATTAGAGATGGATATCCTTCAATATTATAATAAAAAAAGAATGGCAAAGTTCATGTTTTCCTATTAGATACCCAAAATATGTATTAGATCAAAAAGAAAAACGAGGAGGTGCACAATGTCACTGTGTAACAAAGATTCTTTGAAAGTCTCATTAAATTTTATTCAGTGGTATGAGAGGGGTTTTAGATAAACGATGAGTATCCCAAAGCGTAACAGACGAACGGACAGGCAGACAGACGGACTGACACCCCTATTACCACAAATCCCCTGCTTTTCAAGCGGGGATTCATGTACAGTAAGGTCAAAATTGTCAAAATGTCACTTTTCCTACAGAATAAGTCTGATTTCAATTAAATTAATTTACATAATGGACTGCACCAACACGGTTTTCTTTTTTATTGTTCTTAATTCAATGAAATAGTTGCAAGGCTTAGTGAAAAAGAGAATGATATCAGGCATTCATTCAAAATGCTACTCCTACACTTTCAGTCATTCATTCCGATATATCCAATTGTTATAACCTTCTGTTTTAGAAATGTTACATAACTCATTTTCTAAATGTCAAGTCTTGATAGCTTCCTTTTTTGGGTAAATGTTGCACAAATAAAATCATTAGACGCATATAAGCACTCATTAATATGTACTTTGTATATAGCTTTATTTTTTCATAGATATTGTAATAAATGATTATGGTCAATAGCATACAATATCATCTTTGCTGGCAAAGAGTTTCTGATTGTTAATCCCAAGACAGCTTATCATAAACCATTGTCTAGTGAAGATGGTTCACTACTAGGCAACATGGCACTATTAATCCACTCTTGTTTTGAGAACTGACAAAATAATAAATGGTGCCACTGTCTATAACACTCTTTACAGTGAAAACGAAAATGAGTTTTCTAATTTTTTTTTAAAAATTAAAACTGAAAAAAAATTCTTTTAAAATATTTTTAATTAATGATGTATTGTTACAGAAAACAGTAGTAAAGTCATATTTTTCCTTGTTTCGTTTAAGACTGTTTGTATTCTACAGCGTGTATATTTCTTTGTTTCTTTTTAGCCTGTTTGTATTCTACAGCATGTATATTTCTTTGTTTCTTTTTAGTCTGTTTGAATTCTACAGCGTGTATATTTCTTTGGTTTGTTTAAGGCTGTTTGTATTCTACGGCGGCCACAAATGCTGCGCCTTGTCCGCTCCCGTCCTTTACCAAAATCAACTTTGTCTGGAGAAAAAAAAAATAAAATAAAATAATATATATATATATATATATATATATATATATATATATATATATATATATATATATATATATATATATATATATATACGGTATTGAATTCCTTTTCCTATAATATTTTGTATTTGGGGGGTAAATTTAAAAAGAAAACTTTTTCGAAGTTCAACAAGGGTTTTAGAATAGGAGTTTTTTCCCAGCTTGTATGAAGACGATTCTCTGCTACATTTTAATGGGTTTTTTTTTTATTACTTTGCATTATTATTCCTCTGATCTTTTTTCCCTCTTTATAATAGCATATGTGATAAATATAATCGTAACGTTCTTTAATATTTCTTTTATAAAATGCATAGAAATTCTACAACATTCAAACCCCAATTACACACGAAACCTTGACCAGGCATAGTAGATCACATAATAGACACTGCATATATTTTCAATACAGTAGTCAGACTAAGATGCATATACATTGTTTAATCTAAATATAATTTATAATTATAAATAAAATAAATTTGAGTTTACGATAATTTCTCACACAAAACTTAAAAACAGAGTCCATAAATATATATACCTTTGTAGTTGGAACTTGTTTAGCTAATAGATCTGCTATGTGGACCCTATACTTTGGGTGCTTCTCAAACAAAGATCCATCAAAAGCTATGGTTACTTCAAGCAAGTGTATATGGTTCAAAAGAACCGCTAATGCTGGAAGAAATTAATACTCACATTCATTTAAACTATAAAATGCTTTTTGTATGTTAATATAGAAAAAGCGGTTACAACCAGGTATAGCAGAAAAAATACAAAACCCAAGAAATTTTTTGCAACAGTACTTGCGAGCATGGTCCTGCATGCACAGAGACAGAGACAGAATGACTTTTGTAAAAATACTTGTATGTACGTTATGATACGTTTAATTGATAAAAAAAAAATCATCCTCTCAAAAAATCTCGCATAAGAAAAGTGGTCTTAATCAACAAGTGTCGTCCAATATTTAGTAATCACTATAAACTTTAATTGATGGTCCTTACCAGCCGCCACTATTTTGCTCCCCCTCTCCGACACAATGGCACAGACCTCTCTCACCAGTGATACATCCTCCTCTGTTGCTCTGTCTGCCAAACCAAAGGCCTGCAGGACGGACCAGGTTCTCTCCGAAGTCTCATTGTCTCTGTAACATCAAGGTAATTAATCTTACTGGATGCACTTATTATAATAAAAAAATTACTTCTTGTCCTCTTAGATCATCAATCTTAAATTATGTCTTTCCTTTGCAAAATACTTCTTGATTAAATCATGTTTTCTTTTGTATTATATTCTTAGAATAAATTAAGCTTTTCTTTGTGTTATGTGGTTTGATTAAATTTTGTTTTTCCCAATGTATTAATCCGGAAACCTTTTTGTGATTTCAATTGAATAATCGTCTTCGTGTTTTTTGTGGTTTAAATGTGATTTCACTTCGAAAAGTATTCACATTCCTTAGCTTACTTGTATGACTCATATTCGACAATTTTGTGATTTATTTGTGATTATCTTCAAAATTGTATGTGGAATCTTTTGGTTTTTATTCAAAAAAAAATATTGTGGTTTTTTTTTCATATTCCAAAATTAGTATTTTATATTGCAAATTATACGCCTCATTTAGGTTGAAAATTTGACATATACATACGCTTCAATAGATGTGACATTGAAAGTAGTAAACCCCCATCTCTTCATCAGCTCTGGGGAGGACTTTCCATTAAATAGACACCCTCCATCTATAAGCTTCAAGAGAGTCAACCGAACCTGCTCTCCAAGGTACAACCCCCCGAAAGATTTCTCAAATCTAAAATAAGAAAAAAATAAAAAGACAATCATTAAAACTCACTGCTTAGTGAAAATAAATGGTCAAATGCAAACATGTATGAATAATGGCTTTAAATCTAATATTATCTAAACATTTTGATACTTCAAAAGCATTATATAACAAAAAACATGAGCAGAACGTACAGACTCCAGAAAAATAACGATAAACTCAGGTAAATGAATTAGGATGATTCGAATGTAAATCCACCTCTTTATCAAATTCATTTCTACAAAAATCTAAGCAGCCATTGTCACCAAATGCTCCCCATTCCGTATTAACTAAAATCTATATGGAAACGAAAAATATTGAAACCTTTTCATGTTTTCTTCATTGTAAGTAAATTTCAGTTATGTTATCAATGAGTCAAAATATGTTGCATGAAAAATTTCCATATCTAAACATACCTGGTTTGTACTTGGATCAGTGGATATGAATTTGTTATAGTTTTCCAAATGTTCCACAAAACAGGCATTTGAACCAGTCCCTAAATATCATAATAAAAGAAAATATTATGATCTCATAAAAATCTTTAATAGATGTTTTCACTTTTAAGGGGATCATTCACATACCCAGAATCACTCCGATTCTACAATTATTGTCCACGTAGTTCCCTGCCATTAAGGTCAAGATCTAGTAAATGAAAGGTGCCTACAGATTTATCAAACTTGAGAAATAAATTCCTTTATTGATGCTTTACAACTTTAGCTTGGTCAAATAAGGTGTTTCGGGGCATAATTTGTAGGTAAACAAGATGAAAAACTGTATTTTAAACTGTCATTTTTAATGAAAAATTAAGAAAACCAGTCATGAATATAGGAGTTTTTTTCATATTCGGCAAAGAAAATGTATCCAGATTGCCTACAGTCTCTCAGAAAACGGTAATTAGTATGTTCATGGCCTCTTCTTCAAATCAATATCAAATTTAATATAGATATCCGGTTTACTTTTCATATGATTTTAAATTGAATGACATGAAAATACCCTATTTTCTACATAATTCTGCTAAAGCCGTAAAGTACGGGAAAAAGAAAGTTGAAATTGATTATGACGTCATAATGGATCTAGCACCAAAAAATTAGTCTCAAGTTATTTACTAGATCTTGACCTTAAGGCCCCGGTGTTATCACTGATTCTTGCCATCACATCCAGTGTAAAGACGAATAATGACCCCCATCGAATAATGACCAGGGGGTCATTTTTCAACGACAAAAAATGACCCCCTACCCGTAGAAAAAAAATCATTTTTTCTAGAAAAAGAGTCCTAGGGGTCATTATTTTATATGTTAGTCCTATAAAATATTGACCCCCATTGAAAAATGACCCCCTTTAAAGTGATACAAAATTTATAACAGGTGAAAGGGAAAAATATGCTGTGTATTATAATTGTTTTTCCTTCGAGTAATTCATGCATTTGTTCGAATAAATTTGATCTTTGTTTTTCTTAGCACGTAGGGGTAATAAAATTCCTAATTTCTCTCTGTCGAAATATTGACATTTCAGTTTTAAGCAATTAACAATCAATCAATTAATCATTTCTCTGATAAAGGAGCAAACCTAGAAAATCAAAGATGGTACATGTAAATGGATCAAACGCACGCTGGAGATGAAATTTATGAATATAATTTTTTTTCTTTACTGACTCCATTGATACGTTGTTTCAGAAAAAAAAATTGTTGGGAAAAAGTAGAAATTTGTAGCAGACGAACTAATATCGGTGGTTACAAATAAGTAATTTGTTCGAATTAATAAGGTTTCATTCGGACGAGTGAATAAAAATAGAAATGGATGACAGGATGCCTCGATGCTGTATATTTTTCATATGTTCCATCCTATACTTGCAGACTATCACAATATGATTAAAGATATTAAATCTTTGCAAATACATATTCTTTTTATACCCCCCCCCCCTCTCGGTAGAACAACCAGACTTGCAATGAACATTTTCAAGTGAGAAATTAAAAATTAAGAGATTCACGTAGTCTTTTAATACTAAAATTGTGTTTGAAAAGGGATTCTTTCATTGTCAAGTAAAAAAAATTTCTTTTAAATATTCCTCCCTTTAATGTTTGCTTAAAGAATGATGTTCCATTTGTTTTTAGAAATTAAACCATGCAACAATCAGGTTTAAATACTCTTTAATAGGAAAAATTAATTTTTCCTTCATTTCAACTTTTAGCTTGTACAAGTTTGGCAAATCCCATCTGACAATGAAAGAGGAGGAAATTTTTATCCCCCCCCCAAAAAAAAATAAAACAGAATATTACGTTAAATCAAAAAAAAAAATATAAGTAAAAATCTATACCTTCCAATAATACTGAAAGAGGCTCTAGATAAAATATTGAATTGAAGTTAAGTCTTCACACAAGTGCTATCATATCATAATTTACTTCGCCATGATTAAGCATACACTTTAAATGTTGGTGGGGGTATGCTAGAAAGTATTATGGCAAAGTAACAGTTGAAAATTAGTAGAATAGTAGATTATTTTAAGCTTATTTTTAGTCCCTCCTTATAGAAAAATAAAGGTAGCGTAGTTTTTTGTTGTTGCTTTTGTTGATAATCAACTTCCTCCTAAATAAGTAAGGGGGTGGGGTGGGTATAACACCTAAAAATATACTCTGTAAAGCTATGGGCTAGTGTAAAATACACATCCCAATGCAAAAACTATACATGTAGGTATAACCTTTTGATATAGCACACAGTATTCATTAAATTTCTTCATTCTTGTTTTACTCCACCCTTTTACTCAGTTCTGAGTATATTTTTCAGAGAATTTAATATGAAAATCAGAACAAACATTTTCATTCTTGTAACGTCTTCTTTATACTGTATCATAATATGAAAAGTTAATTGAAGATCATTTCTTTTTATGTTCCCGTACGCGTAATCGAAGATTCAGGGGGTATATAATTTTATCGTGTCCGTCTGTATGTCTGTCTGTCTATCTATCTGGCGGTCTGTTTGTCCGCAAAAACTTTAACCTTGACCATAACTTTTCATTTTTTGGAGCTATGACTTTCATATTTTATATGTGTATTCCTTGTGACAAGACCTACTTTGGGTACCACCAAATTTGACCTTTTGACCTTTACCTTGGAGTTTGTCCCATTTTACACAAATATGCCAAATTTTTACTTTGGCCATAACTTTTAAACGGTAGATAATAGTACTCTCATACTTCTCATATGTATTTTTTTGGCATGACCTTTCATTGAATACTAAAAACTTTTACCTTTTGATCTTGACCTTGGAGATTTCCGTACTTATGAAAAAAACTTTTTAACCTTGACCATAACTTTTGAACGGTAAGGGCTAGGGTTTTTATACTTCACATATGTAATCCTTGTTACATTAAACCTTTCTTAAGAAACCATCAACTTTGACCCTTTGACCTTTGAGTTTGACCTATCTTTCAAAAACTTATCCTTAGTCATTACTTTTGAACAAATGGTGCTAGGGCTTTCCTATTTTGCTACTGTATTTCTTGTGAGAAGACCCTACTTTGGGTACCAATATATTTAAATTGCATTTAAGAACAGTTTAATCGTCGCTATGTTGCCATACAGGGGCATAGCTGTTTAACAAACACATCTTTTTATATATAAGAGGAGTTGCGGATAAGAGATGGATACCCCCAAAGCGTAACAGACGGACATCCCGATCACTATATACCCTCCCGCTTTTCAAGCGGAGGATATATTAATATATAATAATGCTGATTTTTTCTGTCAGTAAGATGATTTCCACCATCGAAAAACAATGTTTACCTAACCCTTTGGGCTCGATAAATCTTTCACTCCTTTAGATTCTGAATCATAGCATTGACCATAAAATATAGCTATAATTGTATAATATTATGAGATCAACATATCATCAATTTATTCCCAATTAGCTCAGGTGAGCATTTTTGCCAATATGCTTCTTTATCTAATTTTTTTTTTTGGCCCCCTAAAAAATTCAGCTTTAATCCACAGGGAGTCATTTTTCTACAGGAGTCATTTTTCTTCACGTGGGTTCTGCAAATTTTTAGGGTGGTGACACTTTTTCTACGGGTAAAAGGGTCATTTTTCGACGTCGAATAATGACCGGGGTCATTTTTCGCCGTAGAATATTGACCGGGGGTCATTTTTCTCTGTCGAAAAATGACCCCCGGTCATTATTCGATGGGGGTCATTATTCGTCTTTACACCAGCTCTACTGGCATACTCTCCTGTCAAGTTAATATTTATATTATACAATGTCAACTTAATAAATATGTTATGATGTTATACAATGTCAAAATAATAATTATATCATTCAATGTCAAATTAATATTTCTGTATACAATGTCAAATTAATATTCATATTATACATGTACAATGTCGAATTAATAATTATGTTATACAATGCCAAATAGAGCGTTCTATCACTTTTCCCTTAATATCTTGATGTAACCTTCTTTCTATTTTCATTTTTAAAAATGCTTTGCAATCAATACTTTAGGCAATTTAACTTTTTTAAGTTAAATTTTTAAAAAGTTATTTACTGGCAGAGTACAATGTCTATTTCTTCCTTTTATTCTTAGGTTTTCATGCAACAAGAATCTCAGAGAAAAGACATTTCATATTCTTAACCACTAACCTTTCTCCTAGCAATAGCTTCTTCCAGCAGAACACAGGCGTCCAGCCCCGGTCCATCTGGACATTTGAAGGATTTGGTCCAAGTCAGAAGGATGCTGTGTTTTAAAGACTTCTGATCAGAGGGGAAGGAAAATGAGAATCCTGTACAAAGTTAACATACCCAGTGATCGCAAAAAATTTTTATATGAACATGTTTAGAAATCAGAGTATTTTGGGAAAAAGGGAATAATAACAACTCCTCCCGTGTGATTACAATACGTATATTTTTTTTAAATTTGTATCGAATGATATTTACATTACATAGCACGAAACCCTTGATATGATAAAATATTAAATATACTCAAACACTTGATTAAAAAAGTCAAATAAAAAGGGCATTGGTTAAGTATCTTCATTATTTTTATTTCTGGAAACATGGCAAAATATTTGGTAGAATTGATGTACAAATTATATCCAAATTTCTCGCTTGAATCCAAGAAAACACCTGTAATACTAGCATCTACTCAGAGAGTGTGAATTAAATCTTCTTTGACTGACCAGTAGGTAGCGGAGCAGCTGCTGTGATATTTTCTTCTCGAAGAAACTGTTCCAAACTCTCAGCAATA